GTTTGCAAATAGGGATCTCCACGGTTTAGTGGATGTAGAAGCCTCCTCTACTTTGTCCTTTCCTTTGTTAGAACGGCCAAGAGCTTTGAGGTAGACCTCATTTACATCCTCCTCCTTTCCCTTCTTGTTGTCCAATGCCGCGGCATCCTCCTTGTTGTCCACCTTGCCCTTGTTGTTGTCCAATGCCGCGGCATCCTCATTTGTGGCCAATGCCGCGGCATCCATCGGTTGCATTGACTCCAAAGCTGTCTCATTTTGCACTTCCATGGTTTGTAAGACCTCAGGTTCCTCCATTTGTACAGCTGCAGCCTCAATATCTATTGTCTCAATGATTTCCGTAGCTTGGTTCTCAATAATCTCCCCATTCAAAGTTTCCTCTTCAAGGTTCTCCTTTTGAGTTTCATTAGGTGTAGCCGTAGGTTCCAATAAATCATTCACCATAAGTTCCAAGGAGGGAGTAGCTCCAACGGTTTGGTCATTAATGATATTGGTGTCATTAATGCCATGGGCCGAAATAAGACCCCCCTCCATCCCTTGTGATTCAACCATCAAATTAGGAATTTCAACATTTACCTTTTTGTTGTTGTTAGCTTTCCTAGAAGTTCCTTGCCTTTTCTTCACGGAAGTTTTCAAAGGTGGGAAGTCCTCCTCCCCCTCAACAACCTCTTCAACATGACCATCAATCTTGGTCTTGCTCTTCCTAACCGTGGACGAAGTCCCCTCGTGTGCATCCTTTTTTGTCCTCGATTTTTCCCACCCCAACATAGGTGAGCTTGGTGGAGGGTGGACCAGATTCTTTCTAGTGGTAACCATGTTTCCCTCGGTCAGGGGGTGAAGGAAGAGTTTCGGGAGAGTTTTGAGCAAAGGGAGCCCCAAAACACTAAGCGAAACCCAAAACAACCCCCCCCCCCCTCTCCAATTAGAGCTTTGAAATCCGTACCAATGGCGGAAAGTCCGTACCAACGGTCACAAGGGATGTTGTACGGACACGGCTGATGATTCTGAAACTACAGACGAAGGAGCGCAAGAGGAACACGAGCTTCACCCTATATCCAGATTTTCCATAGCACAAAAGGAGCTACAAGGATCTAGGAAAAGTTTTTCGAGTGTGAATAGTGGATTTCGGAAACCAGTTCAAGAAATCCAGCTAAAACCGAGCTAAGAGCTAAGATATTTGAAGTATAACCCCTCTAGACAACGTAGAAGAAGTGATACAACCAATATCCAAGCTCAAAGATCAAGAATCAGCCAAGAAATCAAGAAGATGGTGAGGAAACGGAATTGCGCACAAGGGGTGTACGGAATTCGTAGAGAGAAGGACGAGCTCTTCAGGCGTCAAAAAAAAGCTGCAAGGCCTCTAATTGTTAAGATGGTACCCTTAGCAATTGGTATGGCGGCAATTCGAGCCATGTAATGTCTTAAGTACCTATCCGTCAATTGACATTTGATACGAGTCTAATGACTCTTTCCAAAATTTATTTCAGAAATAGACGGTGGTGGCAAGGTTACGAGAAGGAACCCGACGGGCCGTGCACCGGTGGGGACCGGGCAGGGGAGCCGTGGGGCCTCTAGAGTGTCTAGAGGGGCGAGCCGTGGAGGCCGATCGCACTCTGTGAGCGACGGTCATGTTGACACCGAGGATGAAACCTACTGGTCCTATGAGGACTCGACTTACCAGCCGGAGACCGAGCCGGTTGAGACCCCTTACGAAGGGGATGATGATGATATGAGTGATGAAGATGGGGAGAATGACTCCCTAGCAAGAATTGAGGTGCTGCTCCAGCAATACCAGCGGGAGCGCGAAGAGAGGAGGGAATGCCGAAGGCGCCGAGGGGGGCAAACTTCGGGTAGGGCTTCAAGAGGAAGAAGCCATGGTGACTCTAGGGCCCACATTGAACCACATGGGGGCCGGGGTGATGGAGGTCCAATCATAAAGATCTCAAAATTTCTCAAGGAGGCGAGGGACTTAGGGTGCAAACCCTTCAATGGAACGGGTGACATCTCGGTCACCGCGGAATGGATCAAGAGGCTGAACGAAGCAGCCCTTGATATGCAACTCACCCCCGAGTTTAAACTCAGGGTGGCGGTGAGATTGCTTGAAGGGATGGCGTCCACATGGTGGGATGGGGCCAAGGGCAAGTATGGCAGGACCGTGACTTGGGAGAATTTCGGACAGGAGTTCTTTGCTCAATACTATTCTGATTTTGAGGTGAACGCTAAGAGGAGAAAGTACACCCTCCTGACCCAAGGTGGCAAAATGACGGTGAGGCAACTTGAACACAAATTCAGGGAGCTAGCCGAGTTCATACGAGAGTATGTTTGCGACGAGAACCGAATGGTTAACCATTTCTGGGATGCCCTGGATTTGGAAATACGTGAGAGGGCAACAGAATTGCCCAACATGACCTTCAGCCAAGTAGTTGAACAAGGGTTGAAGGGGGAGAAGGAATGGGAAGAAAGAAAGATGAAAAACACCGAAGAGGCGAAGAAGAGAAAGTGGGAGAGCCATGGACCTCAAGGTCCTAACAAAAAGGGGAATCATGGAGGAGGAGGATCCTTTCGGGCACCCCCACTGCCATCTTGGGGAAGCCAAGGCCCGGACGGGCAATCACAAGCCTCGGGGGCGACTCGTTGCAAAAATTGCAAGAGGAACCACCCGGGAAAATGTCGTGACCCTCCTAGATGCTACCAATGCGGGAGCACCGGGCACATGAAGATGAATTGCCAACAACTGAGTGGAACAAGAGCATCGGGACCAAGTAGTGCTACTACCGGGGGCACGGATTAGAGCCGGGGCTTCCCAAGCACCCAGGGGACAAGGGGGAGCAAGCGCGAGTAATGCGCCATCCGTGAACCAGGGAAAGACTCAAGCCAGAGTCTATGCGATGACGGAGGCGGATGCTCAAGCTAACCCGGAATCTGTTGCAGGTACAATCACTTAATTACTTGTGTTTTATCCACGTTTCATCCATAATTTGGGGTTATAAGCCCTAGGGGTCAATTGCAAATAGCCTTAGGACTAAACCGTGCGATTCCGGGCGAAACCGGGCTGATTTTTGTCTCAGGCACGCCGTGCCTAACCTTCAAGCACGTCGTGCCTGGCCTGCAGGCACACCGTGCCTCCGCAGTGCCTGGGTGGCAGTAGCTACCCGGGGAAAACGGTCCCAGGCACGCCGTGCCCAGCCTTCAGGCACGTCGTGCCCAGCCTTCAGGCACGCTGTGCCTAGCCTGCAGGCACACCTTGCCTCCACCGTGCCTGTGTGGAAGTAGCTACCCAGGAGTATTTTAAGCCACGCACGCCGTGCGTGCCTCCTAAGCACGCCGTGCGTGGCACCCAGACTGCCCGACGTTGATTTTTTCGCACCGAAATGCGACGTTGAGGCCTCTCCTTGATCCCAAACATGTGTATGATCATAATAAACCACTGTAAATGTATATAGATGGTAGGAAGGCATCTTACATGGCTTATAAATGTAGGAACACTAAAGATTAATGGGAAGGATGCGTGAATCCTTATCGATACCGGGGCGCAACGTTCATTCGTGAGTGAGGCGTTCGCTGAAGGCTTAGGGATACATTCGATACCAATGATACAAACTCTAGTGGTATCAACACCACTATGGGATGACGTTGAGAGAACTTGTTATTATCCATCTTGTGAGGTGGAAGTTGGTGGCCAAACCTTGAGGTGTGATTTCGTACCGCTGAGCATGATTGATTTTGATGCGATCCTAGGGATGGATTGGCTAGAAAAGCATCATGCTAGGGTAGATTGCTACACAAAGGTTATAGAACTCGAAGGCAATGATGGGAATTCCCTACGCTTCGAGGGTGATCGATGCAAGTCAAATAGTTGCATCATATCCGCCGTGAGAGCGAGGAGTATGATGAGAAAGGGATGCCACGCATATCTAGCATACGTGGTGGACAAAACTAAGGAGGAACCTAACCTAGACGATGTAAGGGTGGTTTGTAAGTACCCGGATGTCTTCCCTAAAGACCTACCGGGGCTTCCACCCGATAGAGAGATTGAATTTGTGATCGAGGTTCATCCCGGCACCAAACCAATCTCTACACCACCGTATCGAATGGCGCCTGCGGAACTGAATGAGTTGAAAACCCAATTGCAAGAGCTATTGGATAACGGTTTCATTAGACCAAGCTATTCACCGTGGGGAGCATCAGTCCTTTTTGTGAAAAAGAAGTATGGGACTCTACATATGTGCATCGACTACCGACAATTGAACAAGGTCGCCATCAAGAATAGGTACCCTTTACCTAGGATCGGTGACTTGTTTGACCAGCTCCGGGGGGCAACGGTATTTTCAAAGATTGACTTGAGGTCAGGGTATCACCAATTGAAGATCAAAGAGAGCGACATACCGAAGAGTGCTTTCCGCACAAGGTGTGGTCACTTTGAGTTCTTGGTCATGTCGTTTGGGGTAACTAACGCCCCAGCGGCATTCATAAATATTTGGATCATATTGTAATCGTGTTCATAGATGACATCTTGATTTACTCAAGGATTGAAGAGGAGCACAAGAGACACTTGGTTCTGGTTCTTGAAACACTACGAGAGAAGCAGCTCTATGCCAAATTCTCTAAGTGTGAGTTTTGGCTTAAGGAGATCGGCTTCCTTGGGCACAAGGTTTCTAAACCAGGCATTTCTGTGGACAACAAGAAGATTGAGGCCATCACAGAATGGGAAAGACCTAAGAACGTGAAGGAGATTCGTAGTTTCCTTGGACTAGCGGGCTACTATAGAAATTCGTAGTAAGTATAACCTTGGTCCATGGGCCGACTACTTGACTTTATATATAAAGTAAGTATATTTTGAAAAGGGGTAACTTGGGGTTACGGCCTAGATTATACTATCACCCTATTTGAGGGTCTTGTGTTTGAAATACTTGTTGTATATCTATTAGATGCCATCCACACCAGTACTTTATAGCCATATAGAGTACTGACCCCCTTTCGGGGGCGTCCCACCACCATTTCAGGTTGAGGCTAGAGCTTGCTACCTGTGCTTGTTGATCGGGCGATCATCTCGGAGAGGAAGACTTGGTTCGTGCTTCCTCCATTCTGATTTTAAACATTTTTAAAACATGCTCATGGATATTGTTTTTCATTATGGAGCATGTGTGCTCGTGTTTGCCCCGTGTGGCACTTGTATCCAAACTATGATTTTCGCTGCGTATTCAATTACTTATTATGTATGTTTATGGATGACTTATGTGTGAATGATATTCGAGACGTCTTGTATAATATTGATGAGTTGGACTGCGATTGACTATTCATATTGTACGGAGGATTGTTGATGTGTCCGGATAGGTCCGGGGCGTGACAGGAGCCCATCACATTCACAAACGCTGATCTCCCTCCTACTACCTCTCCACACAGGGATGCTTTGGTGATCCAAAGCGAAATAAACAACACCATCATTCATCGAACTTACATTGACACGGGCAGCTCCATCAATGTAATGTACCTCAGCACATTCAGAGAGCTGCATCTAGAGAGGGGGGCCCTTCGACCCATAAAGACCCCTCTTGCCGGCTTCACCGGAGACACCATTGATTCTGAGGGGGTCATAACCCTCCCGGTACTATTCGGCGACGGGCTCCATAGAGCCAAGCTCGAAGTGGAGTTCGTCGTCGTCAACATCGACTGCGCCCACAACATCATCCTCGGCAGACCAGCCCTCGAGGACCTTGAAGCTATCATCTCCATGAGGCATCTATGCCTCAAGTTCCCCGCTGAAGGAGGCATCAGCTACTCAAGGGGGAATCAAAAACTTGCCCGCGCTTGCTACCTTCAAGTGACGAAGAAGGTTAGTAAGACCGAGTTCCATGTTGACACCATCACCAGAACCGTGGAGGAAGAAGAGAAGAGGCCGAGGGCTGAACTCGCCGAGGAAGTAGAAGACTTCGCGCTCAATCCGGCCAAACCGGAGAGAGTCGTGAAGATTGGAGCCAAGCTCCCCGAAGATTTGAAGACCGGCATCACAGATTCCCTCCGCGCCTACTCCATTGTTTTAGCATGGGGGCCGGAGGACATGCCCGGGATCAGCCGAAGGGTCATCACCCACCGCCTCTTGGTGGACCCTTCGGTCAAACCTGTGCAACAGCGAAGAAGGCCCCTCTCAGCCGAGAGGAGGGATTTTGTGAGGAAGGAGGTTGCCATGCTCCTCTCCATCAAGCACATCAAGGAGGTGAAATACCCATCATGGCTGGCTAATGTGGTACTAGCACAGAAGCCACCCACCTTCCGCATGTGTGTGGACTACACTGACCTGAATAAGGCGTGTCCAATGGACCCCTTCCCTCTACCAAACATCGATCAGCTGGTGGATGAGACTGCGGGGTGCAAAATCATGTCATTCCTCGATGCGTTCCGCGGATATCATCAGATTTTTATGCATGAGGGAGACGCAAAAAAACAGCCTTCATGACTCCCGAGGGCACATTCTGCTATCTTGTCATGGCCTTCGGCCTATGTCGATGATATGATCGTCAAAAGCAAGCAATTAGCAAACCATGCTGACGACCTTAGGGAGATCTTTGCCATCATGAAAAAGTTCAACCTTCGGGTAAACCCAAAGAAATGCACCTTTGGAGTGCAAGGAGGCAAATTCTTAGGCTACATGGTGAGCCGAAGGGGTATGTAGGCTAACCCCGAGAAAATCCAGGCCATCATCAACATGGAGCCCCCACACAACGTGAAGGAGGTCGAACGGTTGACGGGCCGCCTGGCAGCCCTCAACCGCTTCCTATCCAAATCGAAGGAGAAGTCCTTACCCTTCTTCCAGATCATGAGGAAGACCGCCGACTTCCAATGGACTTCATAATGCCAGGAGGCCTTCGACGAACTAAAACGGTATTTATCTTCACCCCCTGTGCTCTCCAAACCCAAGGTAGGGGAAACTCTATACCTTTACCTTGGTGTCAGTCCGGCTGCCATCAGCTCAGTGCTCATCCGGGAGAAAGATGGCGTCCAACATGCCATCTTCTATGTTAGCAAGACCCTCAGGGAGGCCGAACTCAGGTACTCTCCTGTGGAAAAAACGATGCTGGCCATTGTCTGAACCGTCAAGAAACTAGGCCACTACTTCCAAACTCATCCGGGCTAGGTCCTCACGCATCAACCACTTGGCGCCTTGATGAGGAGCCCCACCAGCTCCTCCCGAATGGTAACATGGGCTATCTTCCTCAGCCAATACAACATTGATATCCGTCCGAGGCCTGCCATAAAGGGCCACGCCCTGGCTGACTTTGTGACAGAATGCACGGCAAGATCAGCCACAGACGAGGAGCCTTCGGCCCCCTCGGACGACTAGTGGACTCTCTACACCGACGGGTCCTCCGCAGCCAAAGCATGTGGGGGAGGGGTAGTACTCATCACACCCGAAGGCTTCCGAGCCTATTATGCTATCCGCTTCTTCTTCAAAGTCTCCAATAACGAAGCGGAATATGAAGCCCTCCTCTGTGGCCTTTGGCTGGCAGCGAATATGAAGGGCAGAATGATCCACGTCAAGTGTGACTCCAAGCTTTTCGTGGGCCAAATCTCTAGGGAGTATGAGGCCAAAGAAGGAAGAATGAAGCAGTACAAGGAGGCGGCCAAGGAGTTGCTTAAGGTATTTGAGGCACACTCAAATACTGAGGGCTCAAAACTCTGAGGCCGATATTTTATCAAAGCTCTCGGCCGAATCCACAGAGCACCTCTCCAAGATTGCAAGAATCGAGGAGCTCAACCTATCGAGCATACATGCGAGCCCCATCATGGATATACATCTCAGGCCGGAGGACTGGATCTCCGACATCATCACCTTCATCACCACAGGGCAACTTCTTGAGGACGAAGCCCGCGCTAAACTAGCAAAACTGAGGGGCTCCCAGCTACACCCTCAAGAATGGAAGGATTTACAAAAGATCTTACAACGGTACCCTCTGTGGATCGTTGCGCTTACCGCTACACTAAAAGCAATCGCTGATAGTGAAGCACGCTCCTCCCCATTTATAGCACAAGCGAAGCGCCACGCGGTCCGATTGCACCGGCAGGCTGGCTGTTGCTGGCACCGCATACCCGCGGCCCAACAATCTCCCCCCCAGCACCTGCCAGCCTACAACTGCGCAGCATGCTGTTGCCGGGGGTCGAACCCGTGACCTTGGCTCTGATACCACTTGTGGATCGTTGTGCTTACCGCTACACTAAAAGCAATCGCTGATAGTGAAGCACGCTCCTCCCCCTTTATAGCACAAGCGAAGCGCCACGCGGTCCGATTGCACCGGCAGGCTGGCCGTTGCTGGCACCGCATACCCGCGGCCCAACACCCTCCTTCGGTGCCTTCATCCGGATGAAGCCGAAGTGGCAATGGAGGAAGTGCACAGTGACACTTGCTCAGCTCACCAGGGACCCTTCTCCATGTCCCGAAGGCTTATAGTCCAAGGATACTTCATGCCTACGATGGCCCGAGATTGTGCGGATCTCGCCCGAAGGTGTGCTGCCTGTCAACACTTCCAGAAGGCTCCCGGCAGGCCGGCGGTCAACTATGCCTCCATCAACACATCCATACCCTTCGCCAGATGGGGCATAGACCTTGTGGGCCCTCTGCCGAGGGGTACCTCCAACAACAGGTACATCATCGTTGCCATTGACTACTTCACCAAGTGGGTGGAGGCTGAGCCCCTCGCCAGCATCACCGAAGCTAGATGCCGCCACTTTGTCCTCAAAAACATCCTCACAAGGTTCGGTGTCCCTCAGCAAATCATCTCCGAAATGACAATGTTTTGATCATGAATTTGTCTATGCAGTTCCGCTACAACACGAGCAAGCTCCGCATTACTGATTGATGAACCATCCTCGTTACCTTGGCCCTCTCGTGACATTCTGGTAAGAGAGAGTTAATTTAACAACTAATGAATCCACCCTCACACACATAAATTTTCAACATTAATACATAGTTCACTTATATGAAATTATGGTTATTCTTAAATAACCAACATTACTAACTTACCTGAGAGATGTCGAGCGGTACGTGGCAATGGATAGAGCTACGGAAGGACCTGGGCTCTGATACCAAACTGTAACGACCGTCCCCAAACGGCCATTACCATACTTAACATAAACAAGACTCAATATACAAAGCGGAATATTACAGAATACAAAGTCTCGTATGAAACTTTATTTCTTATACACATAAGAAAACTCCATAACTGAAATATCAAAGACCAACAACAATCACGCTTAACACAAAGTCATCACACCTGATCAGGATTTTTAAAACAAAAAATAAAACAACTCATAAAAGTGTCATAGTAAAATAACAAAACATGAGACACAGCCAGGTCGTTTCCGTTAACCCATCCATAGCCTCGCCACCTGGCTCGAACATTCTCTCAGGCTTCCATTCTTTATTCATTACCTATACATGAGACACAAGAGAACAGAAGTCTCGTAAGCAAAATTTGCTTAGTAAGTCACCATTACATCCACTAAAATAATGGAGTCTTAGCTAGCCATAATTAGATACATAAGCTAGAATACTCCACACATAGCATATTCACACACATATTCCCATCATGCAAAGCATAACTTCACGTAACGAAATCTAGAAGATTTCCTCATTTATTATTCTTTCTTCCTATCTTGCTACTTGACTTAATGGGCCCGTAGCTCGTGTCCTGGCCCCTCGCTAATGACCTTGGGTAGCTAGCCCGCAGCCATCAGAAGTAATCCTGGGACTCCCCGCGGAAGGAGATCCCGCTCCGTTCAGCTCAGGTAATTACTTGGGGGAACGGCTACCTTAGAACATTTCTTATCATTCATTAGATATCATTATCAGCACAACTTTCATTCATTGTTGGATTCCATATAAATCCAACCTAACCATAAACATAGAACTTGGATACCTTACACCGATAACTCAACAAGTTCTCCATCAACATCACCTATCAATATATACACGTAACATGGCATTCACATAATATCATACCATACAATTTCAAGTATTCGAGCCAACCTATCCAATTCATAGGTAGCTAGACTTCCATTTCTTTTTATTTCAAACTATCATGTATAGGTGGTGATGACTTACCTGATTCACGTGGAGTTTTTACCCTTGATCGTGCGTATAAAGCGTCCACGGGCAACGGTTCTTCGATTGAGCGACTATATACATTGTTTACATTTGAT